AAACATTTATTTAATTTACCACCCTGGTAGCCAAACCTTATGATCAGGGATGGTTATAACCATTGACCATTTCGAATACCTTTCTAAAAATTATTTTGGTCACTGAAATTTCGAATACATTGTAAAATCCCCCACATCAATACTATTCACTTTTCCAAAATCCAGGGACATAGAACTTTAAGCTTTGATAATGTTATTATTGTAAAGCAGTCATAAGGCATGTGCGATATAAATGAAATTGTGATTTTCTTGCTTCTAAGAAAAGAGACTTAATAAGCATTACAGTATATATACTTATTAATTGTGGTGTTAACTGACAAACACAAAAATAAAAGCAACTAGGCTCCCAGTTTCAAATCATAAAGTAGAATCGAAGTCTTTATTAATTAACAGCATACGCACTTTTCGGCACGATTTTTAAATTCTAACTGTTTATCGTCAAGTGCAAGTGTATTTTAGTCATCGATATCGGTAAGCTAAATTCCGACACAATTATCTCTCTACACAGGTATTAAATATTGTGATTCCATCAATTTTAATTTTGTTTAACACAATTTTAGTAGTAGTTTTTTCGTAGATTTATTGCCGTGGCCGCCCAGACTATCTCGTAATATACGATAATAATTGCAACATATTATGGAATAATAAATTCAAAAACATCGACGTGTTATAGGTATTTCTTGTCGGCGCTGATTGAAATCCTTTCATGTCTGCTATAATTTATTGTCGCGACGCGCGATTACGATAAAACACAAAACATGATATAGGTATGTAAAATGTTTTCAATTAAAACGTGGACGGCGGCGCTAAGATCTGTGGGCGATATTCAATATTCTTATAAACACGAAAAACGATATTCGGAAGCCGCGATACTAATATTAAATTCAAATTGAACATCCCTGCATATGAGTTTTCTAAGTTAACACCGAGATTATTAGCGTCAGTACACAATGCATCTAAATTAATTACCGCATCTGAATCCCAAACATCAATTTCTTATGTTGTATTATATCCCTTTTTCAATCTGAAATAATGTGTAGTATGAATAATGCTCAATGACTATTGTTTTAACCCGTCTGCCCTGCACACTTGAGGTAATAAATACATAGTATCGGAATATCGACAATATTGGCCTTTTTGTAATATCGGTATCGGTATTGGCGACAAAAGTGGTATCGGTACATCTCTAGACGGTAATCTACGTCACGGGCGTTTCCATACTAAGGACAAAACGATTAAAAATAATTCAGCTTTGTCTTCCAGTTTTTTTACTCGGCCTTGTATCAACTGTCCTGCTTACTGCTATCTTCTATAATCTATGCGCTAGGGATAAAAATATACCTCCTACGACCCAGACAATCTATAGTCGATTCCAACTCTATCAGCATTTATCCCACTTTTGTTCTAGACCAGTGGATCTCAACTTTTTTTCTCTCGTGTTCCATTTTTGTTGCCCAAAAGTTCTTGTTGCCCATCAACTTTTTATGGCAAGGGGCAAACTACAAGAAAAATCAAGATCCTTCTGCGAATATGAACATTTAAACGTTTATAATTAAAATGTAAATTACTTCTCAGTAGCAGAAAACAGCATCTTCATTGATTGCTTCTACTATCAAAATTAACTATTGTGACATAAATAAAACGAGCAATTTTTAATAGTTCTGTCGCCCAACTCAAAATCTTTCTCCGGCCCAGCAATGGGCCATGGCCCACTGGTTGAGAACCAGTAGTCTAAACCTTGGTTTAAAAATAACAGGGAGTCTATATTACTTACCCGATTATTCATAGGGCTCTCGTAATAGGTATTATACCTCTATCGAAATAGTCTTATAAGATTTTCAATGTATGAAATACCTATACTGGAAATTCAAAGTTAGCTTAATTAGCCGAGACAAAATTCTCTACAAGACAAAATGGTTCTCCCGTAGTATGTGTACCAGGTTAGGGTTAGGCCATAGTTTTATTCCGATTTTCCTTATTTTAGGCGAGTTCGGGGACTGTCTGTGTTAGCCAAGTGAATATCCCCCTGCCCATAGGTTTCAGTCCCTTTACACAACTTGATGTAAAGTAGGCCAACAAAATTAGTTACCTCCATAATGGTACACATACTTCTGAAGCGCCGACAGAATTGATACTTTTCCAACTCTGAATAATATAAACTGCATGATGCATCGCCCCATGCCTTCCTTTTATTCACCAAATTATCGTCATATCGAAACCAGACAAGTTCGGCGAAATATTTGATTGGTCATCACATTTTAATATTCAATGACGTTATTCGAACTAACCAATCAGATTATAGCATTTATTTAACCATGGCCATGCATGTATGAACGGTCCATGGAACCTTTCGTCATCTATGGCCTCTTTATAAACTACACTATTCAAAAATACATTCATCTAAGTTTTTTCAGTTTTACGATGAATTTTCATTCCTTTTACTGAAAGTTTTCTGCAGTGTACGGTTTCCGCTCAAATAATCTACCGTAAACGTATTTTTAAAAATAAATTGGCAAGTCAGCTTCAGCTATTTAGCAGTCTTGATATAGCGCTGATAAAAATAACTAAATTCTCGGCAGATTGCTGAGACATCGATGTATTTTACCAAAATGACAACATGTCAATAAATATATTTCATTACGTCGTGACTTTCAATTTAACTCATTTACATTTAACACCCGTTAGTTTCCATCAGAATAAAATCATTTTAGTTGCGATTTTGTTATAAAAATAGGACTTTGGGCGTTAACTTTTAGCTTGTGCTGATGGGCGATTTGCTTTGACAATAACCCAGTGATTAGTGCAACAACGCTACAGCAGCGATTCTCAAACTTTCAAGCCGCGCCCCCTTTTTAGAATTAGTGAAGTCTCACGTCCTTTTCAAAAGTAACTAGCTAACACCGTGGTTCCCAAACTTTTTAGAGTTGGGACACACCATTTATTACCATAGCTTATGGCGACCCATCTCGTGATTTTCTAAAAAATAATTTTATTTTTGATAAATGAACACAAAAGACCTCTTCCAAAGTAAACCATAGTGTCATTCTTCAAAGGAAAATAAATCTAAATCCTGTCTAAATTTCGGGGAAACACGGTAAGAAGTGCATATGCTCATTCTTTGTGTAGCAAATTTTTGTTCCTTTGAAAAAATCGTAAAAAGGAAACTTTCACAGATTTGAATTTAAATTCAATTTAATTTCTTTTGTTTTTTTGAAGATTTGCGTATTCGAGTCGCCACCGATCCTAATAACCAGTATAATTAATCAAAGCTTTTTACATCTTTTCACGGTGACCGTACTTTTGAACCCACGTGCATTTGAACCCATGCGTATATCCGCGGGTTCAATCTATACGCGGGTGGTAAAATCCATGGGTTAGGGTTAGTATGGGTTCAAATATCCGTAAAACAAAAAAAAAATTCTATAGGTGCAATAGTATGCAGGTGCAATTCTCATGGGGATTAAATGTACGTGGGTTGATATGTAATGGAACCCTTCTCACGACCCACTAAGATTCCTTTTGCGACCCACCAGTGGGTCACGACCCATAGTTTGGGAACCGCCGAGCTAACAATAAGCTACAAATAACAGATAGTAAGGAGAAAGCATGTTTTATTCACAAAACACGTAGAAAATGAAAGTAAAAATTCAAAATATTGAAATGTAAATATCCAAAATAAGGCGGACAAGATCAAATCTAACAAATATTTTTTTTTATCAGCTTCACGCCCCCTTCAAAAATTGTCTACGCCCCTCCCCCCCTCGTTTTAGAACCATTAATCCAGTGATAAGTGCATACGACGATGGTTTCCATTTTTTATCGTTAAATTCCTCCGTTCGCCCATTTTGTAACTCTTTATTCCTTTTCTATGTGCAAATTGTACTTCCACGTTTGTGCCATTTAAGTCAGGGGCAACTTGCGGCTCGCGGACCAAATGCGGCCAACAAGGAAATATTGTGCGATACGTGGAGAAGTGCCTATATTTTGTGACTTGCGACCGATTAAAAACGCTTTTTTAGACATTGCAAATCGCAAAATTTCGGGTGCTACCGTAGTATACGTATCGGGGCATTTTCCTTTAGGATTCTCTGCTTTACTGCCTCCACATTAGTCATGTCGCACAGTAAGTACGCACAGTAGTAATGTCGAATTCACACAGATTTGTCGAAGTCACAAAAATACGAATCAAATCAAGATGTAGTCGGGCACTTTACCACGTATTTTTGCGTCCACGGATTGTCATGGTATTTTTTGAGTAGTATATGTATCAAAGCTGAATATAATCAGGCAATATATTCTCTCATTAATATGTTCGCATATGGCAGTGGAATTTAAAAAGAGTAATGCTTTTATCTTGTCGTAAGTCGACCCAACCGCGAGTTACCATGATGAACACAATTAAATTAAAATAGAAATACATTTTAAATTATCGTCGTTGACATGGAATGAATACTGTGCGACAGAAAAATCCATTATACACCAAAAAAGTCGACTCTTTTAACAAAAGCGTAATTGCGGCGAATTTCCGATTTTGAAATTTCTATTGTGTTTGGTTTTATTGCTTCTTCACACAGAGTACGGTTGCAATAAACGCACCTTGAGTCCGCAAAGGGTTTCGCCGGGAGAAAATAGTCCGCGACCAAAAAAGGTTGGGAAACGCTGCTCTAGACACATCATCCCTGCTGTAAGAGCCGATGACTGAATAAAAATAACTACATTTTTATCAGATAAGACATTGATATAATTTACCAAAATAGTAACATGCAAACATAAATGCATAAATTTTTGCCTTCGATTCGTGACTTTCAATTTACCTCGTTTACATCGGTTAATCTATATCCCATTAAAAACATTAGAAGTTGCTTTTATGTTAACGTGCACTTTTGCAAGATGGGCGATTTGATTTGACAATAGCTATAACCTTATGATTAGTACAATAACCTCCAGTCAATCACGCCCAATTTCATTACGCAACACAGCTATTCGGAAAGAAATAAAGTTTATTGTCAAAATTTTCACGAAAATACTTATTAAGGTAACAAGATAAAATGAATTTTGCCATCCTTTTCCTGTTTTCTCATCATATACGTGTTAAATCCTTTATTTCTTTCCGTCGTGGTACTGTGAAAGAGAAAAAAGTAGTTCTGTATTATGTATTAATTAAAAGTTCTGTTTCGTTATTGCGATCACCCAGATTCAGATACATATCTTATGAATAAAATTAAATCAATTGAGAAAAATATCAGACATACAATCGCATTCGACGAGGGACGCTATATTTCTGTGTTACGCAGCAGATGATGTCATATAACATGTTGGCCCTACCGTAGGTTGCTCGGGTTGGGTTAGGATTTAAATATTTATCCCGGGAGAGAAAAGACGGCTCAATCATATGGCAAACCATGTGATCCACTAGTCCATGTCGGGTATGGGATTAGTTATTCAGTTATTTGATTTCGGAAGTATGGACTTGATGGTGAAGGAAGTCATAACCGACCAGCGGTTACATAAACCACCGTACGACGGAGAGGAGTTCATTTCGCACATATTCATCCCCACGGGGTTTGAACTTGCGAGCCGACTCAAGGTAATCAGAGGTGCGATGGCGAGCGCACCGCATTGCACGATGCGCCACACCGCTGAGTCGAGTTTAAGGACTAGACAAGGGATTTGAACCCGCTGTGCCATCATATTTACGTCTAGGTAATCGCTTAATGCAATATGTACCTTCTAAACCAGGGGTAGGCAAGGTTCGCAGACCGGGGCCCAATATTGCCCATTTAGACTGGCGGGCCATGTAAATATGAAGTAAAAGTTACATTTTACGGACAAAAATTTTTAGTGTTACAAAAGCAAAAGTGATAAACGATGAGCCTCATGCCAAAACTCTATATGATTGCAATCCTACCAAATTCCTTGAGCTATTTTTGTTAAAACAGGTTGTAATAGCATCAGGCGCGCCTTACTGAATTACCCAACGGGCCGGATTTGGTCTGCGGGCCGTTGTTTGCACATGTCTGTTCTAAACGAATACAATAAAAATACTGATTTGATTTCTTCCTACCTTACAGGTTCCGCTGAATCCAAACCAGCCACCGTATCTATCTTCGCGGCCCATCCGGCTTCTTGAACTTTTTATTCCTGGGCTTTTCTTGGGGCAGAATCTGAACGAAAAAGTTGGAATAGTTCAACTATGTAAATACGGGATAACCCGGTAACTCCTCAAAAAGGTCATTTGAGGTCAGAGGTCATTTGGAGCATATTTTAGGCAGAACATAACTTTTGTACAAAGTGGTCTAGATCACTAAACTTTTGGGTACAGTCATACAAAAACAGAAGTTCAATAGAGGAGTTATTTATTTTCGTGAAGTAATTAGGAAACTCATGGGCTGTGTGTTTTGAACTACGCTGTATGACAAAACTATATTTTGGCAGTATACTATGGGGAGTGGTTTGATACCAGACTCGTTCATAGTAAAACATGCCCAACTAGTGATGAGCAGGCGATATACAGGGTTTTAATATTGTCCGTTAAAATTCCAATTTTGTCATGAAGTCAATTCTCGGTATTATATCTTAACCAGTTTTGTTTTATGTTATCTTAGTCAGTTCTTATTCAAGTTTTTTGAGGTTTCTTATTCAAGTCTTATTCAAGTATTTTTTTTACTTGACTAGCTGCTTATCGAGAGTCTTGTATCAAGCAAATATGTGGAGTACTTTATAAAGAATAAATATATAAATCTTATCTTAATTAAAAAAAAAAGTTTATTTCTGAACAATGTGACTTAAGTTACTTTGGTTTTAGTGCGACATAGGGCTTCCTTATCTTAATCGCATTGCATCATTCTTCAGTTAGCGAATAATTTACTTATTTATTTACCGGCTTGCAAATCCCGCATTTATATCCAAACTGGATGCGAAATTGGTCACATTCTAGATTCCTCGCACACGGTAAACCGCAATCCCCTTCACATTGTTGTCTTTTCAGTGCTGGACAAACTGGGCAGCATCTGTAATAAAGAATTTTGAAGAATAAGTGAGAGTTTCACACTAATGAAGACTAAGGCTGGCTGCTCATCAATGCCATCTGGGTAAGGTCACCAATGGAAACTAGGATAGTTTGTGAGTGATGGGCTACCACTGTGGGGATCGTGTCCCAAGTGTAGCATTTTAGGGCTCATATTTATCATTCCAGTGGTATTTATAGGTGAAAACACCTGGTAAAATAACCTTATCAAGCAATGAAACTAGGGAAAGGGGGGGAAGATTTCCAGAAGGGAAAGTAAAATCTGTTTTGCGCCTAGCAATAAGGCTTCCTCTGAATGCTTTGTGACCCCCTTGGTGGGCAACGGGCTCCCGGTTGGGAACTGCTGACCTAACGGTTGAAGTGTTAAACTCAACTGTGTTGGAATGGCAGGTTCAACATCTAGGGTTCGAATCCCATGTTCACCACCTTGTACAAAGTGTAATTAACTTGATAGGCAAGTTAAGATCGTAAAGATTCTGTTTCCTCTATAAATAGCAGTTTCTTACATGTCGTTGGATGCTTGTATGGTGCTTTGTTTGGAGAGAAATTCGCGTATAATCGTTGTTTAAAAACTAATAAAATTAGGGGGTCAAGTTATTTTTTCAAGTGGTAGTTATCAAATCAACCAATCGAGATGTTTACTTAGTAACGACAAAGCATGAATATAACAAAAATACAAATGTGGTTATATTGTGTATTACCATAAAATCTTTCAAATTTTATGGAATTAGTGATAAATTCTATTCTATATTTGATCGATTCTGAGAATAAAAATATTCTTTTTCGCCCAGCAGTAACGATTTTGCCTATTACTTAGGAATTCTTGCTGACATTATCTTTTGTATTTATCAATAACTTGGTTAGAAGGCTTATATGCTTAGAAATGATTGCGATCGCATATTTTAAACCTGTCAAAAACTACTAATAACCTTTCAAAAACCTCCATAAAACCCTCAGGCTGCCATGGTTTATCGCGTTCGTGATTTCGTGCGAGATTTGGTAGTTTTTAATTAGTCCTGTGGTTGGATACGGATTTTTTGCGAAATACCGATCTAATGCTGTAGCGGAAATGAAACGTTCAACTGGTTAGCTATATCCCATACCTTGCCTGCACTAGCGATTGTACTTGGGTTTACTTCCTATGACAAACTTCTTCATAAAAGATTGGCTATCATGAAATAGAAATAGTTTTGTAAACGGGAAACGCCGAAATCGTCAATAATTAAAAGCAGAATTAGATTCATCAAAATAATTTTCCCGTGATAGCCCACCAAACTAGTGTTTGCAAGAAGACACACACACACACACACACACACACACACACACACACACACACACGTAGAGACACTCACGTAGACCAGCGGTTCCCGAGCTTTTTGTTCACACGGCGTCAAATTATTAGGAAATAAATCTTACAGCGCACTCACACAAAAAATGCTGCTTTTAAATAAAACTCAATTTTGTGATCGTTAAATTGTGTATTTTGCCTTTTACATTTGTAAACATGTAGGCCTTAGGAATGAAGGCAAAAAGTCAACTTTTTATCCTCATCTCATATACACAACATTTAAAATGAGAAATGATAAAACAGTTTTAATAAATATAATCTGTAAAAATATTCGGCGCTCCAGAAGTGTGTGTACCAATATGGAGGTGTCTAATTTTGTTCGCGTACTTCACATCAAGTTGTGTAAAGGGACTGAAACCTCTGGACAGAGGGTATATTCACTTGGCTAACACAGACAGTCCCCGAACTCGTAATAGAACTAAATGAAGAAAAATCGGAATAAAATTATAGCCCAACCCTAACCTGGTACACATTTTACGGGAGTACCAAATATTCAATCATATTTTAGTTTTGTTCAGCTCAATTCTGGTAATTTTCGTGGCGCACTTAGCAACTCGCCGCGGCGTACCCTTTGGGAACCACTGACGCAGTCATTGAGTGTAGAAGATCATTTAACAAAAATTTCATCATATAACAAAAGTTCGACCCTGAGTTTCTAATGTGTCGCTTTTTGTTCCGAACAAGGCTTTTGACAGCAGTCACACACAAATAGAAAGATTACTCACGGACAAACAGAGTTGAAGACAGGAGTCTCTTTGTTTGGGCAAGTAACCGGAGGGCAGTTCGGATACGGATACGGACAGTTGCATGGTACCGCCTTCGAGTAGGAAATTAAACTCGCGGAAAGCAGCAAGATAGCGATCCACTTCATGTTTTATCCGGCTTAGGGTTGTACTGATCCGCCTTTACAATTCTGTGAAGAAGAAATTTCAAGTTTTTTTTAGTATATAGGTTGTCCATAAAGTTTTAAAAGGTTTTGAAATTAAAAACTTTTAAAAATTGGAATTGTGAAAGGACTTTATGGACACCATGTATAAGTTCTAGGGCAGGGGTCGGCAACCTACGGCCCACGGAGTGATATAATCCGGCCCGCGATGCCTCACTGAACAAAACAGTTGTTTTGACGATTATATTTCTTCGGTAACAGAATTTATTGTGAGACAGGTGTGGATTGAAGTTTTATTATAATCTAACAAGTATAAAATTCAAAATTACCCCCTTAATAAGCATATAATTTACTTATAATTAGACAAATGGCAACACAACGCAGAGATGATGATGCTAAGGGTTCAATGGCGCCGAAAATATGCAAATGGAATTCGTTAAGATGCTATGCAATGAGGAAATAAATCTATATTCTATTCGAGAGATGTACCACTGCTTGATTTTCATTATAAAAAGTATCATCCGTTCGGTTTGCGACCCGCCAATCCTTCATTTTGGCCCGCGAGCTACAAAAGGTTGCCGCCCCCTAAAGCCTCCTTCCATGCACTATATAAGTCAACCTTACCCGACCGGAAAGGGAATTTTGTTACCGGTAATCGGGGCGAATACAGAAAATATTGCTTGGCGTTCGGTGTGGTTGTACTAACATTGGTCATAGGTATTTCGTATTGTTATCAAAATGTGAAATTGAAAGTGCTAGATGCGATTACTATCAGCTAATAAAGGTCGTACATAAATCGGAAATTAAGTATTCACACATAGTGAGGGAAGAATAGAGAGTCGCAAAATAGCCAAAGGAAGGAATATATTTCTTGACAGTACTGACTTGTTCCAAGTCTGTGTCGAGTGTCATAACGACAAAAAGTATTTCAGCTTTATCTTCTGTTTTTTTTTTACTTTACAGTGTGTTAACTCTCGGGCCTGCTGCTATTTTCTCTAATATTTACTCTGAGGATAAATATACAGGGTGTCCATAAAGTCCCTTTACAATTTCAATTTTGTTATAAAGTCAGTTCTCAATATATCCTAACCAGGTTTTTTTTTATTCAGTGATTGTTTAAGTATTTTTACTTCATTAAACACATCTTTATAATTTAAATTTTTTTTTGAAGTCAGTTCTCAATATATCTTAACCAGGTTTGTTGTTTTTTAATCAGTAATTGTTTAAGTATTTTTACTTCATTTAATACATCTTTGAAGGCCAAAAAATATATGTTATCGATAAATTCCCTTTGCAGTTTGAAAAAATTTGAGACTTTATGGACACCCTATATATAGCTCCTAAGAAATTAGTAGTTGCTTGCAACTCTACCAGTATTTTCCTCTTTTAGATGGCGACCTTGTTTTTCAAAAACCTTGCGTAAATAAAACGGGGGGTCGAAATCACTTATCTGATTATACATATTCGAGCTGTCGCAATAGATATTGTACCTATATCTTGAAAGTAGAGTCTCTGAGATTTTTCATGTATAGAATACCTATTTTTCAAATTTAAAGTTAGCTTAATTAGCGGAGACAAAATTCGGTACTCCTGAAGTATGCGCACCAAGATGTCACATAACCTGAACCCTAACCTGGTACACAACCTGAGTTCACTCCCGTAGTGTGTGTACCAGGTTAGCGTTAGGGCATAAATTTATTCCGATCTTCCTTATTTTAGTTCTATAACAAGTTCGGGGACAGTCTATCTTAGCTAAGTGAATACTAATATTCCCTGCTCATAGTAATCATTTCCTTTACGCAACTTGATGTAAAATAGGCGAACAAAATTAGTTACATCCATAATGGTACACATACTTCTGGAGCGCCGACAAAATTGATACTATACTAACTCTGAATAATATAAACTGACTGATACACCACTTCAAGTCTCATTTTTATTCTTCCAATTATCGTCATACCGAAACCAGATTAAATCTCACGTTCAAAGTATTTGATTATTCATCACATTTTAAAATGCAATAACATCATTTGAACAAACCAATCAGGTTATGGCATTTATTTATTCATGGTCATGTATGTATGAACGATGTATGAAACCTTTTGCCATCTATGGCCCCTTTATAAACTACGCTCTGCCAAAACCCATTCACAAACACACAGATTTTTAGCAATAACTGTAAATTTCCATTCATTTTACTGAAAGCTTTCTACAATATACAGTTTCCGATCAAATAATCTACCGTAATCGTATTTTTATAAATAAAATAACAATTCAGTTATTCAGCAGTGCTTATATGGCGATACATGCTTGTCATATTGCCAAGACATCGATGTAACGTAATTTACCGATATGGTAACATGCAAACATGTCAATAAACTTTTGCTCTCAAGTCGTAACTTTAAATTTAACTCATTGACATATTCTGTATCAGATTAAAATCACTACAGTTGCGTTTTGTTATGAAAATAGCTAACCGGATTTAAACTTTTAACTGCGATTTGATTGGACAACACAATGATCTAGTGTGGTGGTTTTCAAACTTTGAGCCACGCCCCCTTTTTAGAATTTGCGCCCCAGAAGAAGTCGCGGCCCACTTCAATAATATCTAGCTAACAATAAGCTACAAATAACAGATAGTAAGGCGAAAGTATGTTTTATTCAAAAGTTCCGGCCCGCGGGCCGTAGGTTGCCGACCCCTGTCCTACAAGCTTCTCTTTCATACTGCTTTGGTAAGGCATTTTCATCAAAAAGCGACTGCAAACAACTAGAATGTCTGATCAAATCCCCGTAACTAGTCATTTTTGGACACGTAGTGGACATAACGATCGTTTCAAAATTATGTTGTTATTGTTATTTGTCTCCATCATTTTTAAAAAAATCGCTTTTCTCTTCGAATACTGGACCAATTGCTTTGAAATTTTCAGTGGTTGGAAGATAAAATTTTTCCCCAGAAGGCTCTTACTTTTATTCATTTTAAATATTTCTGTGTTAGCTCTGTGAGATTTGTTTTTGTTTGCTATGACGTCATTAAACGTTCTGCGGATATCGGACGCCATTTTGTGTCCTACTGTACTGCTTCGCTTGGTGTGAATATATTTGTAGACTGTGATCTGACGGTACGGTAAACCGTACTGTACTTCGAACAGACGTGTCCATATATTTGGGCGTAGCTCTCTTGTCAGCTCCTATATTTGAAAACACCGCTAACTCGTCGATTCCATTACGCAACTCATCTATTGAGAATAAGATAAAGTTTATTGTCAATTTTCGAAATTTTTCATGAAATTGTTTATTGAGGTAACACGATAGAATGAGATTTGTCTTCTTTTTTTTTCTGTCCACTCATCATACACGTGTTGTTGTTATGTTGAATCCTTTATTTCTTCCCGTAGGAGTACTATGAAAGATAATAAAAAGTAGTGAATTTTTGTTTTAATGAAAATTTCTGTTTCGTTATTGCGCCAATCCAGATTCAGGTACGTATCTTATAAATAAAATTAAATCTTTGGGGAAAAATAACAGACATACAATCGCAATTGACGACGGGCCACGAAAGGCTATCAAGTTATAATGTTAGCGATTATGTCACTATATGTCGGCGATGTATATGTACTAATATGAAGATAACTAATTTTGTTCGCCTTTTTTACATCAAGTTGTGTGACTGAACTGAAACCTATGGGCAGTGGTTATATTCACTTTGTTAACACAGACAGTAATAGAATAAAATTTGAGAAAGTCGGATTTGAAATTATGGCCTAACCCTGACCTGGCACACAAACTACGGGATTAGCCGGAAATCTATGTGTTCCGCAGCAGATGACGTCAGATTTTGACCCTATCGTAGTTTGCAGATCTCCGGTTAAGATAGGATTTACATAATTATCCCGGAAGAGAGGAAAGCCTCTAAGACGGCTTAATCGTATGGCGGACCACGGCCCCTCGTCCGGTCACCAGTCCATGCCGGGCATGGGATTAGTTATTTGTCTGAGATGCATAATGCATAGACTTTGATGGTGGGGGAAGCTGTGACCGACCAGCGGTTACGTGAACCACCCTGCGGCAGCATCAAATTTGTATAATTCGTAACTTCTCAAAAATACGAATCAAAACTAAATATAATGAGGCAGTTTGAAACACTATTTTATGGCCGTGGATTGCCGTCATATTTTGTGTTAATGTTCTTATTTTGTCGACGCAATCGCAGGCTACATTGAACACACAACTAAATTAATAAAGCAAGACAATATAAATAGACTCGGAATAATCGTCAATTGAAACCTTTGCGCAACTGCATAATTATTACCCGACAACATAACATAACAGAAAAATATTATTCTTCGAAAATCTGGCCTTTTTTGCGAGTGGCCTGCCTAATTGCGGCGATAGTTTCATGGAAACTTCCGGATTATCCCGATTTGCAGCCCAATTTGGTAATTATGGACGGCGCCCTTGAACGTATATCAACCCACGTCTTATCGAACCTTGCTTTATTACATTTTGTGTCGGGTTAATACGCAAAATTCTAGTTAACACCTAGCCAACACCACCGCCTCCGCTCAAAATAAAAAGAAGAAGAAATAATCCACTTACGGTTTTAAGATGAGAGCTAGTAATGCAGATTCCGCTGATAATTCAACTTCCTAAATCATTTTTAACCCAAACCGCAACTGGATAATTACTAATTTATTATTTCAGAACGCGCTGTTTTATCAAAGTTTGCATTAGTGGCGAGGGCTTTGTACAAAATATCCGTATTTCACAAGCCTTCGGATACAGAAATCATAAACGAATCTATCTTTCACGATTAACCGATTTTTAAAAAGTAGGCATATTTTCAAGATCTCTCATTGTTCCGATCATTCAGCTGAAGTTATAAAACTTTTTATTGCTTTCATGTGACTCGTGTATCGTGTGCGAAAACATTACATTATCACAAGTACGGTTACCCTCCCTCCATTAATCCCTATGCGCTTGACGGACAGCGTAATAAGCTAACCCAATGGTTATTTTGATCCATTGTTGATCCAACGAAACAAGGTGTATTGTAAATAGCGTTGCCAGTAATATAAATAATACGGACGCTCCCGCTTTCCTCAAAGCCTGAATGCTTTGCGGGCCGCACGAAATTCGTTTGCGGGCCGCAGGTTTGTCACCTCTGTTCTAAACGAATGCAATATAAAATACAGATTTGATTTCTTCCTACCTGACAAGTCCCGCAGAATTTAAACCAGTTACCGTATCTGTATCTACAGACCAATCCTTTTTCGCAATCCACATGGCATGATCCACATTTTTCACCTAGTCTCCCTGGGCATATAGTTGGGCAGCATCTGAACGAGAAAATTGGTTAGTACTACTCTCTAAATCGGACACGGGCCGCGGGCAAAATCCGGCTTGTTGAATAATTCAATCTGGCCCGCCTGATGCTGCCACCACCAGCTAAAGCCAAGGTTTGATGTTTTAACCAGAAATAGCTTAAGGAATTTGCTGAGATTTCGATTAAATTCAAAGCACGAGGCTTAAATATTTTCCACGTTTGCTTCTGTAACACTTTATACATTGTTCATAAAAGAGAACTTTTTACGTCACACTTACATGGGCCGTCAGTCTAGGTGGACAAAATTCATGGATCTTGCGACAAAAACCGTGCCCACCCCTGCTCTAAATACAGGGTAACCTGGTAACCCCCAGTAAATTAAACCAGTTCATTTGGGTCATATTTTAGACAAAGCACAACTCATTCATAAGCGTCCAAGATTACCTCAACTTTCTGGTACAATCATTCACAAACAGAAGTTCAAGTGTTAAATCAATTTTCGGTGCTCCCGAAGTATGCGAACCAAGATGGCGGACATCGGAACGTAACTTGGGTAACAGGTTAGGGTTAGGCGATAATTTTTTTCCAATTTTCCCTATTTTAGTCCTATTATCAGTTCGAAGACTAGCCAAGACCCTCCCGTAGTATTTATAGCTAAAATTATGGCCTAACCCTAACCTAGTACACATATTACATTCCGATGTCCGCCATCTTGGTTCGCATACTTCGGGAGCCCCCAGTTTTCTTTATTTCCGTGGAAGTGAGTGATTAATGAATTTATGGGTTGTGTTTTCCGGACCACACTGTATTACAAAACTATATTTTACTAGTAAATAGTTGATATAGGAAGTGGTTTGATATCAGTTTCATTCATAGTAAAACATGCAAAACTAGTTAAAGCAAGGGATGTACAGGGTGTTTATAAAGTCCCGTTACAATTCTAATTTTGTTATGAAGTTAGTTCTCAATATATCTTAACCAGATGTATTTTATTTTTTTCAGTAATTATTGAACTTTTTTTTACTTCATTCAATGCACTTGTGAAGGCCAATATCTTAACCAGGTTAAGTTTGTATTAATCACCGTTTAGTCAAGTTTTTTTCTTTCTTTATTTAATGAATCTGTAAGGGCCAACAGACCATATTTGGAATCGATAAATTCCCTTTGCAATTCAAAAAACAATCCAGAGTTCATGAACACCATGTGACTAACGGAAAGATTTCGCTCCTTCTATAATGAGGTAGTTTTTTACCCTATTAGCTGATGCTTGTGTGAAAACTTGTTCGGAGCGAAGGATGCGTCGCATAGAAAAAAAAGGGAGGGGGGGGGGGGGGGGGGTTCGACCCCGGGCTTCACTTCACACTGTTTATTCACTAATATACCGTATTAGAATACAGATAGGAGGTACTCACCCACAGACAGGCTTTTGCGGCTCTCCGTTAACACAACCTATCTTAGGACATGCCAATGGCGACGGACATGGTACGCATGATAAGCCACTGGCATAAGTTAGACTCGCTATCAGTAAAAGAATTACAACAGACTTCATACTTGTTTTTGTTGTAATGTAAGATTTATTTACATCAATATCTAGGATAGGAAAAAAAATTTAATGTGCGTTTCTCAAAAAAAATCGGAACACAATATTTCTATTATCCGCGAGAAGGCGCTAAAAGTCGTGGATTCGTTTACGTTATCTAAAATTGGACCTCCTGAAGTATTCGCACCAAGACGGCGCACAACCTGAACTCAGATTGTGTACCAGATTAAGGTTCAGGTTATGCGACATCTTGGTGGGCATACTTCAGGAACAACCTAACAATTTTTACTTCTACTTTATTCAAACTATTTTTCAATGCGGCGCAAAAAATATTTTCAATGCTAACCTTCAAAAAAAAATTGCCGACTTCTGCTCAAAGAGATCTCTATTATCTGGAAAAATTGTGAAATTTCCCTACAACTACATACAAAATTTAAATAAAAATTTAGATTAGTGGTCCTTGCAGAAAAGACTTACGTCCACTCCTGCGCAAGGAGATCCCGATTTTCGGGAAAAGTTGTGAAAATTTCTTACAGCTACATACAAAATTTAGATTAAAATTTAAGTTGACATTTGTTAAAGATATTTGAACCATATATGGATGAAATAAAAATGATGTTTTAAATTTTAACTGAAGATAACTAACTATATGATATGGTTCTTTGAAACATTTACCGACTTCTCCCAATGCAGCCCTTTTCACAAAAGTTTTCTCTCAACGCGGTCAAACAATTTTGCCCGCCTCATTCGCAAGGTGCTTCTCGAAAGTATTCAGGACACCTTTGATTTCTCTCCTTTTATGCGTTTCCCTAAATTTCGCCAAGTCATAATGATTTATAATTGCAGCTTCCGAAACTAATCTGAGAGTATTAAATACTCGTTTTTAATAAAAAAAAACTAATTCGGTTTCATTACGCGATTTAAATTGGATAAAGACTTCGGCGAACGTCGGACAGACCATAGGGACGCGCTTTTTTTGGTACACCCGAAGTATGTGAACCAAGATGGCCGACACCGGAACGTAGTATGTGTACCAGGTTAGAGTTAGGCTATAATTTTATTTCAATTTCCCTTTTTTTTAGTTCTATTACGAGTTCGGGGACTAGCCAAGTGACTCCTGTAGTATTTGTACCTGAAATTATGGCCTAACCCTAACCTGGTAAACATACTACGTCCGGTGTCCGTCATCTTGGTTCACATACTTCGGAAGTACCAAAATTTCTATAGTTCCATGATTATTATCCTGTGCTTGTTCAAAGTATTTTTTTGCGAAGTTGTGAACATGATTTGTTTTAATTTCAGTCACGTATAAGTAGAACCGAGACTGCTATTCTGCAGAGCCTGATTGATAGCGAATCTGCTAAAATCAGTCACATGGAAAGAAAATCGAAATTGACATTTTTCGATGACTGGACATAGATATTACATTGTTATTGAGAAGAAAGTGAATATTAAAATTTTAAATATTTAATTGCCGACTAACGTCATTTTATGGACTCATTTCTTGTAACAATCTTAAATTAATTTCGTCAAAATATGAGTCGTTTACCGTCGTAATATGAAATAATAAGGAAAGCAGAAGCATTGACTAATCTTCTTGTTGATCGATTAGAATAGGGGCGTGGCCATTAAAATACTTTCAACCAATGAGAAAGTATTAAGCATAACATCGTATTAGTGCGTTGTATTGTGGTTATTATTTGGCCATCAAGTCATAGGAAAAATGCAGTAAATTAGTAAAAATAAATTAAAGCTGTTTTTAAGTGATTTTAATCGGTTATGCTTTTAAACAAAATTCCGCGTTTGCAACAAGAGGGGCGTGGTTAAAAATACTCTCAACCAATGAGAAAGTATTAAGCACAAAACCGTATTAGTGCATTGCAGTGTGGGAATTTTTTAGCCATCAAGTCATGAGAAAAATACGATGAATTAATAGGAATAAAATTAAAGCGATTTTTAAGTGAATTTAATCGGTTTTGGTTTTAAACAAAATTCCGCTTTTGCAGCATGACTTTCAAGTTTTTGCTAGTTTGTTATTAACAGATTAAAAATGGCGATTTCGATTTTGTAAACGTAAACACGTATTTTGAAACCGCCCATTCGTTGTTGTTTTTAATCTTAAGTCTTTCCATTGGTAGCTCATAGTAAACTGGACATTTAAAACCTTAATTTTCGCCCGGACTGGGGGACATGCCTGTTCTGTCATGATTATTACAAAGACCATGTGCGCGATGGCTTAGCGCAAGGATGTGTGACCTTTAATACAAGCGGACCACATACAAATAACCGGATGAAACCGCAGGCCTCAACTTTATTCAACATAGGCTTTCTAGTAGTTGTAGACTCAAAAATTGTGGTTATTGATCTTATGACATGCATTGTTAGCTTTGCACAAGCTAAGCTGTTGAGGCATTGTAACGTCATAGGCATAGATAATAAATAAATAGGACTCAGGTACAGGCTTTAAAACGCAAAGAGACTGGAATTACTCGCAGTGCCAGATTAAACTAAATTGAAAAGTTTTTTCGTGGGCCGTACACCGAATAAAATTTGAACTTCTCCGCGGGCAGGACTTTTTTCTTGTGGGCCACATTAGGTCCGCGGGCCACAGGTTGTACAGCGGTTAAACCTTCGACCTAACTATATTGGCATAAGTTAAAATTTCGGGTTCAAATCCCACGATCATCATCCTGACCAGGTCGAGGCCGTTTACAACCGCGGTTTCGCAAGTTTCCATATAAGAGAGTCTATAATCTATATTATGATATGTGTATTGTTTAAATATACACATATCAGGTTTGCCACTATTAACTTGCTGCACTTCGAAGCTCATTTTGTTTTTGCCAGTATTAGGTTTGCTTTTATATGTATTTATTTATAGTTTATTCGATTTAAACAATAAAAGATAAATGAACTATTGAAAAAACGTACCTTGCAACTCTTGAATGTTTCATTGGAGTACGGGCGTAGCCATAAATTTTCAAAGTGGTGATTCTAAAATTTCTAATCTTGCCCAATCTTGCCCAAGACTTGTTCGCAAACCAATGTGTGTCGAAGCGTTCAAGAATTATCCTCCGCTTGGTCGTTTCGCCGTCCGCGACATGCGACAGACTGTTGCTGTTTGAGTCAGCAAGGAAACTACCAAAAAGGCCGGGAATGTGGAAGAAACCATGGCAGCAGCTAAGGCCAATGAAAAAAAAGGAGCAAAGAAGTGACTGGAAGCATCTCGCCCCAATCAACAGCCTAAACCTAAAAAAGTCTCACCCAATTGTTAATTGCCCAAGACCGTATCAGCTAGCGGGCAAGGCCGAAGCGTACGTTTTCAAGATTCTTGAAGGTTAAAAAAGCGTTTTAGATACGAAAAATTGCTATGATTGATACAGGAAAATGCATTTTTTTCACTTTTCAAACGAGGAGCGTTTTCAAAAGTAATCACTTCATGCTCGTGAAATCTCAAATGGGAGATGGGATTTTTTAGGGTTGATTTTGGATTTTTTATATTTACTTTGTTGTCTACAGGTTACGTCTTTGTGGCAGCTGATTACTCTCAATTAGAAATCCGGATATTTGCTCATCTATCCGGAGACGAAAAACTTCTCCGGATTTTGAACACTGAATCCGGTGATGTTTTTAAAATGATCGCAGCACAATGGAAGGGTATAGAGGTCGACTCGGTTAGCGCAGAAGAAAGGCAGAGAGCGAAGCAGATTTGTTATGGTGAAAATTATTTCATAAAACATTAATCTTAATTAATGATATAATCCTTGTGAATCAATGGGCGCTGTCAATATTGTTTTTCATTATCGCCTGGCAGAATCCGGCCTTATGAGACATAAGTTTTTTTTTTTTTTTTTTATATATTCTCGATTATATACATAAAGATACCTAAGTGCGTGTGGAGCTTGCAAGGTTTAGTTATTTTTTTAAATAGATTCCGAGTTACTTTCTTGAGCAAAAGTTCGAAAGATCCATCACAAGTGACTTTGTTGGTTCTGCGTCGACAGTCAATGAGCAATAAGTTCACCCGGAAGACTTGAAGTTAAAAGGTCAAATTGGCAACAAGGATTTATTACCGTGCATGACCTTATTTCAGTCCTAATTGTTTTCAAATTCTATTCTGCAGGCATGTTGTATGGCATTGGTGCAAAAGCTCTGTCTCAACAACTAGATATCGATGAGAAATCGGCAGAACAATTCATGGAATCTTTCCTGAGATCGTTTCCTGCTGTCAAATCGTACATTAGAACATTGGTGAAAGAGTGTGCTGAAAAGGTGGGCAAACACGAGTTTTGTTTTCTGGCTGTGAAAATCTCCGAGCCATTTTAAAAACGTCTTCTACCCTCTGTTGATAATGTGCGAGTGATACAACTGCGATAGGTTAACACTAGACAGGTAACACAATTATTAGAGGCGTTTACTCGACAATGCATCAACACTCTCGACTCCGGAGAATTCATAATTTCGACTCCCGGAAAGTTGGAAAATAGGACGGCTCCGAGTTAAATCCTTCTAAAACCGTGCCATACTCCGATTTTGTCGTAACTTTTTTTTAAACCAAGGTCGCTGGGTCACGGTTGAAAATGCGGATAGAAGATTCGCTAGCCGGTACTCCCGTAGTATGTGTACCAGATAGGGTTGAGCCATAATTTTATTCCCTGTTTTAGTTCTATTATGAGTTCGGAGACTGTCTGTGTTTGCCAAGTGAATATAGTCCCTGCCATAAGTTTTAGTCCTTTTACACAACCTGATGTAAAATAGGCGAACAAAATTAGGTACCTCCATATTGGTACACATACTTCTGGAGCGCCCGCTAGCCATTAAATGGGTGACTGATTTGCAAATGTATTCTTGTTAGAAAAGTTGGCGTGATTCCAATTTTAGTTTTGAGTCTATTTGAGATCAATCCCTATAGGCATTAGCTTTGGAGATGTCATATTATTGAAAACAAATCTGATCGTTAAGGGATATGGATAAAAACATATATTATGTTTTTTGGCGCTCCAAAAGTATGGGTACCAAGATGAAGTGAACCGGGACGTAGTATGTGTACCAGGTTAGGGTTAGGCCATAATTTTAGGTACAAATACTACAGGAGTCACTTAGCTAGTCTTCGAACTAGTAATAGAACTAAAATAAGTAAAATTGGAATAAAATCATGGCCTGACTCTAACTAACTTGGTACACTTACTACGTTCCGGTGTCCGCCATCTTGGTACGCATACCTCAGCAGTACCCGTTTTTTAATTAACGCTGTTTATTTCTTTCAATAAATAAATTTCATTTTTTTCATTCCTTTTCAGGGTTACGTTAAAACCTTACTTAATCGTCGTCGCTACCTACCTTCCATCACTGACACCAACATGTCCGTGAGATCTCAGGCAGAGAGACAAGCTGTCAATACCACGGTTCAAGGGTCAGCTGCTGACGTCATCAAAAAAGCTACTGTGAGGATGCAAAGTACTATGAGAAAGAAATGGAATATAGTGATCGGGTATGCTGGCAATTTTTTAATTTTATTTTTATTTTCAAAATCTATTTCAGACCTGGGCTATAACTGAATAATCTATAAAACGGTATAGTGAATGCGGTGGGGTGTGGCGCGTCGTGCTAAGCGATAAGAATACGCTCGCCACCGCACCTCTGATTAGCAGGTTCGAATCGAATCATGTACGGAAGGATTGCTAGACTACTCGCCGCCGTAGGGTGGTTCACGTAAGCGCTGTTCGGTTACGGCTTCTCCACCATCAAGTCCGTGCATCTGAAAAAAACTAGCTAACTAATACCATACACGATATGGACTGGTAACCGGACAAGAAGCCGTGGTTCGCCATATGATTAAGCCGTCTTATAGGCTTTTCTCTTTCCCGGGACAAATATGTAAATCCTATCCTAAATGCTACTATGTATATTTGAGGAACTAGTCATTTGTTCATATACATTGTACTCGAATCTTCTTCATCATGTTGATTCACTAGAAAGTTCGAGTCTGGCCATACTATCTATATCGAACGGGCGATGAAACGTATATTATGAGATCTAGATTCATTGAGGTCGTCTTACCTGCGATATCAACATATTCAGAGTTAGGCACACTAGCCACTAGCCTACTAGGCCGCCAGCCTGTGTTTCCATATGAATTTAGCATTCAATTTATGTGGATTTACATGCGGAGTTCAGATCTTGCAACCGAACTGTGGTTTGCCGTCTTGTTGAGTCCTTTTATCAGTTTCCCTTTCACTGGATTAAAATGAATCCTATTTTATTTCAGGCAGCAAAGCCATCGATTGACGTCATCAAATAGTCATAAATTGCGTGACGTCACTCATCCGGGATGTTACCTAGTTCTACATCTTCATGACGAACTCATGTTCGAAGTTCGTAGTGATATTTTACCGGAAGTTGCGTCACTAGTGCAGTCATGCATGGAGAAATCTGTGAAACTAAATGTTAGGCTACCAGTAAAGCTGTCTTGCGGGGAATCATGGGGTAGTTTGAAAGAATACATCGCGCCCAAAGCATAATTTGTACAGCTGTGATATTTAAGGCTATTAATTTGAAGATGTAAAAAAGATTCTACCAACATTGTAACCGTTAGATGACAGCAAAGAGACCTGAAAATACTGACTAATTTAGAACTGGGAATGGCTAATCGGTCAACCGGTTAATTTTACCTGGCCCTGCCATATATCAAAAATAACAGCATGAGGTGTTCACTACTCGACGCCTATATTTGGCTTTGTGTTTTGATAATGTCCAAAATAGCCCCTACTTTCTGTAAAGATAAACAAATGTTTGTCACTATCCTCCAATGTTTGTATTGCGTTAGCGAACGTGAACGTTTCATATAGCTTTTTAAATTGATTACGAAATTGGCTGTCTTTTGGTAACTGATCGATTAGAATATCTGTTCTGCCATAGGAAAGCTACTTATTTATATTCTGTGAATATTTATCGTCTATCGGGATCCTCTGATGTAAAGCCCCTTTACCAATGATTTAAAATGAATTAGAAAATTAGCACTTGATTCCTCAACTCATTTGTGTTATTTGTCTGTACGTTAATTAATAGAATTTGTTTGAATCACTGTTTAATGAATTAGAACCATGGGTGTGTAAATTGTGGCCCGCGGGCCAAATGCGGATAAATTATGTGGCCCACGGAGAGGTGTCTATTTTGAGTGGTTTGCGGCCCGCGAAACTAGTTTTTTAATGCAGTTTAATCTTAGTTTAATTAACCCATTTGCGTAACCCATTTACGTCGCATTTATTACCTATGACGTTACAATGCCCTAACAGCTATCTTCTGTGATACCACGTAAACGTTATTTGATTATTTGCCTGCGATACTGTTCAATGAATTTAAACCATACTTGATCATGATTTAAACGCTTATAAATATTGGCAAAAATTGAGTACCTGATGTCGTATTCAGCAAGAACATCTGCTTTGCTATCAGGGGTGCACTCAAGGGGGTGATGGTCGGAATCCGCCCCTTTCGAGTGTAAAAAACAACAACATTTTTCTGTATCTTAAATAGCAATTTTTGGTAGTTTGAAAAGCTCAAGACCTCAAGACTTCTGAAATTCCACGTTTACGGCCTCCGACAGGACCCGCTACCTGGCGGTCTAACTTTCAGACCCCTCTTTGAAAATTCCTGACATCCCTGTTCGCTATGAATTCCACATTTTATGTTCACCCCAATTCGGACTGAGCCGTGCACTCAATTTAACTCTTTGACTGAGTTTCAGGCCCGAACTACGTAATATGTTCAAAGCTGCCTGTGTAGATGATGATTTAGTTTGGTCTTCTGCTAATATGTAACAATGCAATACATGTTTATTTATCTCACTGTGCTGTTGCGATCATATACTTTTTGTTTGTTAAGTATATTTCACTGCCATTGTAAAGTTTTTTGCAATAAAAAACATCAAAAATAGTTGTGTTGTCAGTATTTTCCATCCTTCAGCATCCTCAGTAAACTCTATTACTGATATGACAAACCTTTGTCCCAAAGTATGTGAACCAAGATGGCAGACACCAGAACGTAGTATGTGTACCAGGTAGGGCATTTCGAATCGAATATGGAATTATTCGAATCGGTTCAGAGCAAAATTTCGAATTGCCGCCATCTTTTTTTTTTTCTTTCCGCCAATGGTCGAGGTAAATTTCTCAATTTTTTCTGTTGAAGCCATATTTTTTCATCGCTGTTCTGACATATGACTCTTTTCTGTAGTGAGTTATTGATGAAAACATGTTTTTTATTGTTTATGAACGCTCAGCAATCTGCCTGAGCGATGTATTCTATGTTTTCAGTAATTCATGTGTCTGGCCTGGAGGACCTAATACAATAAGAAGGTTACATACATTTTTTTTATAATTTATTCAAATTTTCCTTATTTTAGTTCTATCACGAGTTCGCGGACTATCCAAGTGACTCCCGTAGTATTTGTACCAGACACTATGGCCTAATCTGGTGCACATACTACGTTCCTGGGTTCACGTGCTTTGGGATTCCCGATTTGTCTACCTGTCGCTATTAATGGACGTGAAAAAAAGTTTGTATTGTCACGAATAATCGATATATCCTCGGGGATAGCGTTGATCCAGTCATGTCCATGCTGAAAACGAACAATATGAGTTTCAAATAAAAATATTTGCTGATCTTGGACTGTTTAATAATCGCGATCAATCAATGCCTTTGTTTGGGGAATAGCAATAGCCGGGAATCGCGCATAATACAGTTTATCCACCTGCCGTTATTAATAGAGAGGTGACTATTGTTCATTTGAACGATCGAGTCGATATTATCGAACATTTAAGAAAAATATACAATCGTGCACTGTGTATCCCTAAGAGCCTAATCGTCGGAAAATAGTCAGTTCGTACGTTCGTAAGCAAATCAGCGTGGTGGTTCAAGCGTAACTGTGATGGCATTGTAAGTCAAAATCCACGCGGAACCGGAAGGAATCAGCGGATCTTTTTTACAAAAGCCCCGCCAATAATGCAAAAATGTGAGATTCGAGAAAAACATCCCCGCCACGTTTTAAAATACCAAACTATCCAGTTCGGGTTAGAAACTATTTAAAAATATGAATTTCCAGCGCAGTCTGCATTCCTAATCCTAACTAGTTAATTACTAATTACTTATCGATCTTAAGATCGGTAAGTATATTGATAGGTATTTGTATGTATGTATGTCTGTCTGTCTGTGTGTGTGTGTCTGTTAGATGAACGCGATATCTCACGAACGCGTGGTTGAATCTGCTCCAAATTTTGCATGTGCATGCACCTTACCTCGGACCAGACGCCTATCGATTTTGGGTTAATTATGTCGAGTTATTAGCGAGTTATTAACTAATTACCGACCTAAGATCGATAAGTCTTCGGTCTCCGACCGATATTCTCGTTTTCTTATTATGGGATTCCCATTGGAATAAAATTCAATAAAAAATGTTAAATTTAGGTTTAGCGTCCACTAAATAGGACTACATGTACGAATAGACATGCAAAACAACAAAATACACTAACTATTATACATGTGTCCATCAGTCTCTTCACAAAGTATATTGGTAATGCTGAATATACTTTGCTCTTTATAACTAACAAGAGTGCTATGCTCAAATACATGGACACGAAGTCCATAACGAAATGTTTTACCATCATTTCCTTGAAAATCATACGGTTTTCGTGTCCCACGTGTCCCATGGAAATTCCATTCCTATGGACAAGCCTGTAGATCCGAGTCCGGTCCTTCCGAAATGAAGCAGCTACTTACATGTCAATGACTGCTTGTGAAAATATTTGTTTGATTCGTAGGGCATTCGAACGTCGTATTTAAAATAGAGGACTGCACAAAAAGATTGTCGCGCCAACTCACCGATGACCTGAGGGAGGGGTTCTCTAATTTTAGGTGTTATGAAGCTTGTGAATAGGTTGACCATTATTTACCGATCCCACAATAAATTTATGAAGATAAAAAAAAATACATTGTTACTTATTGATTAATGTTCCTGAGTAAATTAAAATTACTTTATTTTAATGACTCGTATGTATTTGCTGCTTTGTCTTTAAAATATACACTTGACAAACATTTGCCACATTTTGACGCTACCGTTGTCAAATTTTACCAATCCCGTTATTGTTTCTTTAGGCAGTTTCAAAATTAGCCAAGTCAGTGTTTTAATCAGTAAACGAATAGCTTGCGGAGCCCCTAGGTTTTTTCACACGGATCCTCGGGGCTCCGTATGGAGAACTTTGAGAAGCTAAGTCCTGAAAGTATAGTTCTGTTCTCTTGTGAGCAAACGCCGGGCATAAAATAAATCGTAATTTGTCATTATACACGTTTCGCGCAGGAATGTAAATTTAAGAATAAGTGTAATAATAATCATCAAAGTCCGGCTCAAACACCCACTTCGTCATTAATACAATCCTGATTAAGAACCCCGCACACTCGTTTGAGGAATATGATTTGAACAACGAAGATTCCCTGTTTTCTAGAGAATCCATAAATTTTATTTTGACTCCTGAGTTTAAAAATTTCACTACGATCAGCGTGGGTCTATGGAACTGCAGCTTATAAGTTCCAGTGGGTGCCATTGCATTTGAACCCACGACAATTGCATCTGCATACCATTGTACCTATGGAAAAATTTTTTACGGTTATTTGAACCCATACCAACCCTAACCCATGGATTTTAGCACACTCATATAGATTGAACCCGCGAATATACACATGGGTTCAAATGTATGGGTTCAAATGTACGTGGGTTCAAATGTACGGTCACCGTCCCAGTGACCTAAGGCCGCCATGTAAATGGTAATATGCCGCCGCTTTGAAAGGACATAACGTAAGTAGACGCACGAATTAAAGAGATATATCTCGTCTATCTTATTCATGGTTATTTTTCTCATAACAAATTGTAACAAAGTGCCGTTTACATAAGCGATTATTAACATCACGAGTTATCACTGTGTCCCCGGCTTTTATTATGAATATTAGCCACCTGTGACATTATTGAAAATGGTCAATTGTCCACTTCAAAGAAGGCTTATAGTGACCACCAACTCATTGTTCACGATCTACATTTGGGGGTTTTCTGTTTATTTTTTATTTTAAGCTTTGAAGTTAGTTGGTAAACGGCGAAGGAATAAACCACGTTACGGTAGAGAATTAAAAATGCTTTAAAATGGGTCGTGTTTAGTTGTTTGTCGACGTGCAACTAAATTGAAATTTTAGACGCTTTCTTCACAATCACTTCACCTTTTAGATAGTTGTATAAAATGGCTTCAAAAGTTTACCATTTTGTCACGAAGATTGAATTTTTGTCTTGTACCAGTGTTTTGTCTCTAACTATCTAAAACAAAATCACACTGTCAAATCTCTTTGTAGTAATACAGCTCAGAAGTGATGATGAATTGATGCTTATAATACTGCAACAAATTATAATAATCAATATTTCATCATCTATTAAATCACATGAATTTAACACCATACACAGAAATATCATTTATTAATAAACATTTCAGATTCAAAGTGCAATATTTGATTCGCCATATAATTTGAGCTGTCTCATCATATTTCCTCTTCCCTACGATAAATATGGAAAATTCCAATTGCGAACCCTTATTTATCATCAAAGCAACTTGGTTCCAAAATCATTTTCGTACTTTGGAAGTTATTTTTGTCACGATCTCTTTTAGAGAATATCGCTGTATCTACTTGTTTGAAGAAGTATCTTTCCATTAAGCACGATTCAATGAACAAAAGCCTAAACGAGACTCGATATTACAAACTATTCAGAAGCCTATATAAACAGTTGTGTTCATTATTCTCCGACTAGGTAGAACTGACAAGGACCTCTGAAATAACACGGTTTCTCTATTCGCTTTTTTAACGCCCCACGCTTGAAGACATCTGGAGTATATATATTTTCTTTAGGCTTATTATAAGTTAACAAGACAGGACTCGTCCTTTATAACAAATACAACGTATGTACATTAAAAACAGCAATAAAATATCAATGTTTTTTCTACGTAATTTGAAATCTATATAAGCGTATGGAACTATATTCCTATCCATTCTCTCTGCGTGTATTATAGGTTTTATTATATCGAATCACCGCGAAAATTTAGTGAATTTGTCGATTTTTGATGTATTTTTTAGTAGGATTGTCAAGGGTCATCATCGTTGATTATGTTTATTCTTTACGGTCTGACTGAAGCACGCTTCAAGATTTTCAAAACGTTCAACTTGAGTTGTGTAGAATAATTAATCCTCTATTTCTTGACTCATTTTCCCTTGATTTACCCAAGACCGTGATAATTTTAGACTGCAAGAACGTTTTACACTCAATACGATTTTAATAGTAAGCTCCTCATCGCCAAAGCTAATTTTTGTCATATATTTTGGACTAGGGTGTCCCGCAATACATTTTGAAAGGAATATGGGAGACCTTTCTTGGTAGATGTATAAACAGGGTGCTAACAGTAAAATCTGCGCATCGCTTCAACTGATAAGTCAAATACCTACGCTTGGAATATAGTAGTTTTACTTCGTTTCTCAGGACAATAGCTAATTTTCATCGTGTACTTATAACTGAGGGTTTTCAAACAATTTTTGGGAAGATTATCGGAGTTATTTCAAGCCCATCTCCAGTCGCGGTATATAAAGCTAGTGAAAGCGGTCAAATTTGGGCATTTCTTGAAATGATAAAGTTGAATATCTACATTCAAAATTTGCGAAAAGACTTTATCAAATGCTATGGGTTACAAAGAATATATAAAAATTTCACATCAAAAATACCAACTTCACGCCCACGGCTTTGTCCAGGTGTTCATTCGTTATTTGTTTTCTATTTCTGTTGTAAATTCCGCACAACAGGCGATATCTCATGTCCCAGTGGGTTTTGACAGTTTTGAAGTGGCCTCTCATCTCGTAGTCAACAACTACTCTGGAAGATCGGATTCTGAAATTCACTCCACTTATACATTTGAGTCATACTTTTAGTCTAGTAGATTCATGGCATCCCCATGTAATATAATTTTCGAATCTTAGTTTATTGGACACGAAATGTACATATGGATCGTTTGTTGTTGTTCTTGTTCGTATTTTCCTTCTTTTTGTCAAAAAAAGTCGTTTTTCGCATTAACTTCTTTAAAATGTTTAGTGGTTAAAGATTGCATTTTTCGTTAGAAGGCTATAACTTGTTTCGATTTATTTCTTGTTTAATTTATTTCAAAAATTTCAGTGGATTCAGCGGAATTCATTTTTGGTGCACCATGACGTCATATATATATGAATAGATATAACGATTAGGTCTGAGCATTTTCGAATACCTGATGATTTCAGAATCGAATCGAATAATTTTTTCGAATCGAATCGAAAAATTGTATGTAACTTTCTTATTGTATTAGGTCCTTCATAGAATACATCGCTCAAGCAGATTGCTGATCGTTCACACACAATATAAAAAAACACGTTTTCATCAATAACTCACTACAGAAAAGAATCATATGTCAGAATTGCGTTGAAAAAATACGGCCAGCCCTAATAACGATATTACCTATAGTAAGTTTAGTTTAGTTATCTGCTTAGATTTATTTATATCCACGGCGTTATGTTCTTTCTGTTTTCCCCTTTTTAAGATGAATGAATTTACATTTTGGATATTTTCCTTCCTTTTTTATAACTAGTCTCAGTGTAATATTGAGCACGAAGCTATTTTCAATGGTCGATATTTTAATTGAAAATCACTGTTGGATATACAATATAGAATATACAATACCGCAATATACAATATGATAATGTAAAAGAATTTTAATAAAACAAGGTCATACCCACCCCATCAGAAATAAAAGAGACTCCTCTAATCCACCGCTTCTCATCCAGTGGGCCATTTTGATATTGGTCACAAACCTATAGCAAATTGCTATCGTTATTGATAAATTTGGTTAAATTGGCGGTAGTAGTAACGGATGGCGATGATGTTTCTGTTACAGGGTTGCATTCATCATTCTAATATTTTTGAGGAAAGAATTTTGTAGATTTTGTCAATGGGTCACAGAGTTTTTGTGCAAATAAGCCATGAAATGAAAAAGGTTGAAAACCACTGCTCTAAGCCGAGTGGCGGTCAGGCTCTGAAATGATAAAATTATGTAGATTTAAGATGGTGCATTGCGCGTGAGTAAATGCCGATTGATGTGAGATTTGAAGCAGTTCAAATCGATACAATCAGGAAAACAGCTATCTATACAGTTATCTAAAGTCTAAATCGTGGAAAAAATTTATGGTGCATCTGCCGTGTTTTGTCTTTAAAAAAAACATATATATAAATATGACAGTAACTTTAACTTTCCAATCCTGAAAATTTTCGCGCATTTTAAATCAACTTATCAAATAAAAATATCTCGTTTAAAAATAAACGAAGATCGTTTTAAACTTTCCTTGTACTTATATAAGAACACGGTAGTCTATTACTAATACGATGTTTAATGTTTGTAAGAAGTTCCTGAAAATTTTCAAGTACCATCTTAAAGGTATCGTAAGAGCAGCTGTGTTACGTAACAATCCTGTTTAAAGAATCCTAAACCAGAAATGCGTAAACGTTGCTGGGTCGGTCTTTCAAAGAAAATGGAGAAAGAACTCTGATATAATGTGATTGATCGGAGTAGCATACACTGAACTACCGCTCCTTTTTCTGTCTTTGTGTCGGTGTTAAGCTCCGAACATCAGTTCAATTACACATCAGATCATATTTCATAGTTTCTTGGAAGTCTGAAGTTTGTTTTGCCAACAGTCGTGCACAACGTCGACCAAATATGCAACGCTTGTTGGTAATTACCTTAGGAAACATAGTTTGGACGTAAAAGGTAGCTTGAGCCACGGAAAGAGATCTTACTATTTGTTACTAAATAAAATATTTCCGCAATTCCAACATGGCATGTTTTACCTATAGCTTGGGGCGCGCTCCATTAGTGTGTGTACCAATATGAAGGCAACTAATTTTGTTCGCCTACTTTACATCAAGTTGTGTAAAGGGACTGAAACCTATGGGCAGGGGGTATATTCACTTGGCTAACGAAGACAGTCCCGAACTCGCTTTAGAACTAAAATATGGAAGATCGGAATAAAATTACGCCCTAACCCTAGCCTGGTACGCACACTACGGGAGTACCAAACAAAAGACTCGTAATTCCAACTCATCAGTAACGTGCCATGTTTTACCTATAGCATAATATTTTGTTTTAATTTATATTAATAGAAAACATTTAGCGTAAAACAATATAATATTTCGCTTTTATTTTGACAAAATATACGAAAGAACGGAACGTGGTTATAAAGAAAAATCTGATACCTCGAAAACAATGTAATTTCCAAGTAAGGTCATAACCTTTTGGCAACGAGTTGTTCAATTTATCACATTCAGCATAAAGTAATATTATATCGGAGACAAAGGCGTTCAGAACGTGTCCTCGTATTGTTAAAAGATATTACAATATGACGCTATGAATATCACGCTACGTAAACATTAAATATATTACGTGGCGGATCCAAATATTTGGAAGTCTTATAACAACCAATAGACTCGGATGAAGTAAATTAAATTGTCAGTTTATATTGGAGCGCTCCAGAAGTATGTGTACCTATATGGAGGTAACTAATTTTGTTCGTCTGCCTTCTTTACATTAATTTATATAAAGGGACTGAAACCTATGGGTATGGGGTATATTCACTTAGCTAACACAGACAGTCCTCGAACTCGTAATAGAACTGAAATAAGAAAAATAGCAATCAAATTTAGGCCTAACCCTAACATGGTACACATATTACGAGAGTACCTAAATCGGCGCTACAGCGAGTTTCAACATTTAATTTCCAAAATATTCAGTTTCTATTTATTTCTAATGAGTGATTCAGCCGTCGTCTGGAGTCACATTTTCTCAAACAACGTTTCGTCTGACGGTGTATGCACGTGGTAGTGTAATGCACGAACTTTGGACTTATTATATCCGCTTTCTTTCCTACTACAGTTCAATGAATACGGATTTACTAACACAAAGACAGAGAAAATAAACATGCTACTACATTTAACATAGTTTTCCATTGAAATTTGGGGTATCGCTAACGTTTTGAAGTATATTTCCACTTTCTGAATTTGTATGAATATTAAAACAAAGTTAGTAACATTAGTTACAAATATAAATGAGCAACAGCGCTTCAGAACAATCACAATTTCAGCTTACTTGGGACAGGATAGATATTTGTGAATCACTACTTTGCTGGAAAAAGACAAAGGGTTATCCGGCTGTCTGATTTAGAAAAACCTTTTCAATTGTGAGAAATTTGTATTGATTCACAAGTGTATTTATACATACCGGTACATTAATAATTCTGTATAAACCTGAGAACAATTTGGTTTACGAGATTCAAGATTACAATTAAATTATAAATCAGAAATGGACCAGGTAATGAAGAACAATTGCAAAGACTTTTTTGCATTTAGTTGGTTTCGTTTTTAATGATTGTCAAATATTTAGTAAAATATACACGTGCAGTATTCCACCGTTTACATGAACTTCATTCTGAGAGATGGTTTTATTTATTTAAATTAACGTGAATCATGTGAGCTCCCGAAATTTTCCGTTTTATTTATTTCGTTTCCCGCAAACTTTCGTTTCAAATCTGAGAATGATAAATTTGATGTTTGAACAATATGAAGGATCCTCTCAACGTACCTCATATTTCAGGACAATGACGCAGTTTTGGTTTTTTAAACTCCCCACGACAAATATTTTTACAGTAGGGACGGACAAAAGTACACTTTTAAAAAAATAAAAAAAATTATCGAAATTTTGGAGTAATCATTTGATATTTGCATCATCAAGTCCCAGTGCTATCATATTTAAATTATAAATTTGCTTTAGTTACACGAGCTATTTAAATGAGAGGTAAAAATGATGAATTACCTTAAAATTCACGTTAATTTGTTAAAATTTCCACTCAACGTGCAATTCTATTGCGACGTCAGAGCTTCGGAGCACTTCACGCACTCCGTTTCTCTTGTTATTATCTTTTAAAAGTCTCACTCTTACTCTTTTCAGCCAATAAGATATCGCGTAGCCTTTGTTGATTGCTTTTATTTATATCGGTCGTTACGCGAGTCAGCTGGTCGAATAAAACTCCCTGACAAGAGGGACGGATCAGCCAGTCGCACAGCTCACCGATTGCCGCTACTTGGAATACATATCGCCGAACGGAAAGGATCGGGACAGCACTGACTAGCAGGTTTGTTGTATGCGGGTTAATAGTTAATATTTTATAAAAGAATTATTAGATATTTTGTCTTGAGTTTATTCGAGCATAGAGGCATAAAATTATAGAATTTTTCATGTTTAGCTCAGGGAGAAGAAAACCCGATAAGACGGTACATTGAGTACATTGAATATGACAGTCTTTGTTTTGGTTACCATTTCATGTTTGGGGAGGGAGTAGCTTAGCATTGGCTGTTCCGGTTACACAGACTTGGCGGTTGCGCGACTGAACCTTTGGGGTCGGTAAATATTTCTAAAACTTTCACCTAGATTTGCGGTAAAACAAAATTCAGCTTCGAAAATAGAAAATCCATATAATTTTGCGAACTTGGGTAGCTGTGGGCAAAATCACCTTATTATACAAGTAATAAGTTGGTCTTCACAAAAAATTATTCACAATGTGGATTATTAAAGAACATTTATAATAGGTGGTATACAACGCTTTGATTGTTTCAAGCCTGTGTTTTTAGAGGGGTAAAAGGTTATGAACGACACTGCTATGTAATAACACACCAAGAATATATCAGTCAACGTAATATATTGTTCTATATTGAATAATATTAAAATAGTTCAGATAAGAGTAATAAAAACACTCGGAATTCATAGAATCGGCGCCATCTTCAAAGAATCTCGTCATTGACTCTTTCATATCAGCACGATGTCTTTATTACTTGGCTTTATGACGCTACAATGTTAACAAAACATATTTGTGATTTAACAATGACTCGTTGACCTGGAACCAACACGAGTTTATGTTTGAGTTCGGTGCTGCTGACTTGGCGTCTCTATTTTGTTTGGCCGGAGATTCAAGATTGTTTGAGTGATAAATGATGACGGTGCGTTAATTATGTATTTGATAGTAGATAAGCGATGTGCTGGTTTATTAAACTTAGTAGTAAATGCATAAGATAGCATCAGAAGTTCGCTTTTTTTCGGATGAATAGACAGTCTAGCTCACACGGTAGTCTCCGGAACAAATTTTTCACCAATGGTTTGTGAAAATAAGGACAAGTCGTAGTGTAAGCATTGTGGATTTAATTATTTTGCAGGTGCGCTAACAATCACCAACTGAAGATTGAATTTTTTTACGTCTGTGGCAAAAATCTCCGGTTCAAAGTTCAACATAATCTACAAAACAATGTCGTCATCGCGACTGACAACTCTGCAAGTTCACGAACGATTCAAACAAAACTACAACACTTTGTATTCAAAGATGGTAAGAAATACTTAATTTTTATTGTTGATATGGGTTCAACCAACAAGGATTCCCTTCGCCCAAGCCTTCGCCCTAAAATGGTTCTGTTCTCACAGACTTGAGCTACTTGGACTGCGATCGCCATAATTTGTGTCCTTTGGGTAATTCTATAAGCTGAATAAAATAGCAGAACAGTAAAGATCACAATCTTTATGTCATGCCAACATGGTCGCCTCTCAAAATCGTGCCTTTTTTTAATTATCGAATTTCGCCGAGTTTTAAAATGAATTTCACTCTGTTGCATTTTTGAACTGAAAAAGCATTTATACAGATCATCATAACCTGTCGCGTCACTAAATAGTAAGTTCGCATATCGCAGAGGTCGGTATCCATGAAGTAGCTGTTTAAAAAATCGTTAGCCACAGCTGCTGACAGGTCTTCATTTTTTTCTGCGTATAATCTTGATTTTTAATTTATTTTAAATCTATTTCTAGTCAATCAGTACCTGGGTGTGAGAACATGTTGCTATTAATAATAAATAGTTATTCAAGGTAGAGAGTTACTGGAATATCTGCATTACAATCTTGTTTTACACGGGATGTTTCGTTTGAGTCATTTGAGTCATATTTGCACAAGGTGTATTTGCGCAAATCCTGTCTTAGTATCTACCAAGCTTGTCTCGGGCATTATTTGAATAGTCTCACTGGCTTGGCCGTTTTGAGTACGTCCGAAAAATAATGATAAAAGTTTATACTAAAGTAAATGTCTTATATGACAAATGTTATTTTTGATCTGTCGGGTTACTATTCAATATTATGTTGATTATTACTGGAATCCTGCCTTGATGTATAGAATGTGAATATGATAAAACATGACTATTATTCGTAAGTGTATATTTTCATAGCCCATTCATTGCAAATATTCTCATTTTTGAAATATCTTGCATTTTTTCAAGTTGGTTTGGTAATGTAACAGAGAATCTTATATAACACATATACTGCGGGTGACACGTCTCGTCAGTTACACTTTTTTTCGTTTTTTTTAATGCCAGTTTTGATATTCTATTCCCGCGGGAGCTAACCCTTACCCCTGGTAATAGGAACACATTTTGATAAATGTGATTTTTTTAGAATATTTGTAATTGTTAGATTACACCTAAAATTATTTACTTGATTTTAGATCCCGAAGGAAGATCTTTTTGACGACAGTTTGACAAACTTACAATGGCTTCAAAATCTAAACGTGAACATTGCCAACCCAGTGCCCCCAGCTCCAATGGGAAACAGTCCAGATGGGACCAAGCGGGTCAACATGGCGTACCGTAAAATCAGGGGCGGAGACATTGGAATAAATAGATATAAACCAAGGACTGGCGATGTCGCTCAAGCGCATAACTTGGATTCGCCCGTCAAAGGCGATCCCGGTAGTCAAAGCATGGAAAGACAAAACGCTCAGAGATTGGAATCTCGTCTACTAAATGGGAATAGTAAATCAAAATCTAAAAACAGTAAAAAGAATCCTTTGCCTCCGTTGATCCCACAAAGTCGGACCCCACTGCCTAGCCAGTATAGATCCCGTGTCGGGCCCCAACGTGACTCCCAAAAAGACTCTCTACCGCGTCTAAGCGGAAGCAACGACAGCTTAAAACTCAACACAAAACTTTGCGAGAACGCAATCACGTTAACTGCTTCACCGGAGTTAGCATTACTGTCCGACACCAGGAATCAGTACGTCTTATCCCCGCGCCAAATGGATCGAGATTTGCTACCAGGACAAGTAGATTACAAAAACAATCCGTATGTCAAACCCCCTTTCTCACATTTAGCCTTGATCTGTATGGCTCTGCGACGAAATCGAGACAAGAAGATGACAGTCCAGAAGATATGCGAATGGATTAAAAATAACTTCATTTACTACAGATGTGTCGGACCAGATTGGCAGGTAAATTTTTATTTTGAGAGTTTCAAAAATCTCGCGTCACACTTTCACAAATTTTATTCAGAACCTTTCGTCTGAGAACTAAGTCATACTTCCTCAGACTAACGGTTTACGGTTTTTGACAGCTATCTCAGTCAGTGACTAACGAACCTATTTATGGGCACAAACCCCGAATGACTCGCTTGGTGTACGAACCGACTATAAACTGCGAATGCGAATTTATGAGTATAAATAACCTCGAAGTGAAGTCTTGTGCTCGATGGAGAATGTATTTTAAATCAAATATAACCTAATAACCTTAGTAAAATAATTTCGAAGTTTTGATTATGGGTTGGTAATTGGGTTTTCCGTGGTTTGAAATGGTCTTTAGACCCTATTTGAGCTCGCTGTTAAGGTCTAAATTAGCAATTAGACATTTCAGATTTGCGCCTCTGCGCGAACCTTTCTTTTCTCGGTTGAAGTTTGCTCATATTTTGATTCGTATTTGGTTTTTTGATGTTCTAGTAAATACATCAATCAGTGCTTGATCTACCAATGAAAATTTATTTGCAATGAAACCTTTTAGTTCAATTAAAACGTCGCACCGAAAACAACTAAAACTGGTTGTTAAGTTTCGGTCGAAACTAATAACTAACCGATAGCTTGGGTCGAAGAACAGCGTCTTAGACTGGCAAGGGCAAAGTCGAAATTTTGATTTCGTTAGAACTGATTGAATGTCAGTCAGTATCCGGCTTAAATATTATTTTCTAGACCAGAGATGTTTAACATTTTTGTCGTGGGCCATATAACCAACTTCAGACATCTAGCCGGGCCACACAAAAAAATTAATGTTCCCATGTATACAACGAATTAAAAAATTCGAAACGAATTGGCACCGGGCAAAACGGCGAACAAAAACAGTCAGATTATGATATTGGCTTGGGGAGAAGTCTTGACAGGAGTCAAACTAAATGGCTTGGCGGGTCGTGTGTGGCCCGCGGGACGCCTGCTCCACACCATGCTCTACCCTCGGCCGTGCATTCCCCCAATCATTTTGCGCGACAAGTTTATTTGAAGTAGCATGTTCTTTCTTACAATAGAGGATATATTCTTGGTTATGTGATATATTTAAAACTTATTGCAAACGGTCACGGGATTTGATGGGTCGTTCAAACGAGACGCCATAATCGGTAAAACGAGTGAGTGTTGTTCTCTACCACGTATACTCTTATTACATAACTTCATCCCCACAACGTAAATTGTAGAAGCATATCAGTTAACGTGCTACTTGATGCTGATCGAATCAACGTCACTACTTCTATAGACAAATAAATATAGAGTTGAATTTCAGTAAATTTACGCGGTGACCAAACCTCGCCTTTCTTTGTGCATTAATTAATTCGCAATTGAGTGGCGACCTTCACTTCGATATATATACTCAAAAAGCTCATTTCCGTGTAAGTGGGGGTGGGGTCCCAACTTTCTAATATTTATTCCTAACAATGTCGCCTTTGGGCAACAAAAGTTGGACACGTTCCAACTTTATCGCCGGGGACGTTGAAACACTTCGTTACGATTTTCATAAATTTTGTTGTTCTGCATGTCTCTTCGTACATAGTCCTATTAAGTAGACGCTAAAACTAAATTTAGATGGGATGGGCAGGACAGGCATAAATTGCTATAGGATGGGACAGAAAAATGTGTTCCATGAACAAGCCTGACTCAATTTTGGTATGAAGTCAGTTTTCAATATTTCCTAACCAGGTTTGTTTTATTTTAATCAGTGTTTATCAATTTTTAGTAATATATTTTTACACATGTAGGGGACAACAAACTATATGTGTTATCGATAAATTCCCGTTGTGATCAAAAACCTATTTTAGACTTATGTATATATATCCTGGTCGTTTCGTGGTAGAGAATCTCACGGGTTATTGTTTAATGAACAGACTTAGAGGGCGTAATATAATCCTACTTTGCTCAATTTGCAAACTTTTCAACGTGTTGATAAGTTTTGAAGTAGGTGCTTGCAATTTTCTCTTCGTGGGTGATTATGTTCGATACCTGCTGGGCGTCGTCTGACTTTCTTATTGTATTAGCATTTGAAAAGCCTTAATTCGCTAAATATTTGTGATGTAATAATTCAATCGTATAATCATAATTGTTTATCAGATGCCACAACAATAAATTTGCCTACAGGTGAGCGGGTCACGCGCTGTGTCAAATTAAGGACAGAAAATCAGCGTGCAGTATGCGTGATAAAATATACGTACACAGTCTTTGCTCGTACACCACAAAACAAAGAGTCAAGGCGTTATTATTTTATTAGATGTTTGCAAAGCTGATATTGTGTCGATTTTTTTCGAAGACGCAATGTCACATTAAATCATCATTAAATTATCATAGTCTTGATTCGATTTATTTTAAAAATGCTATCCATCTGGTCGATACTTGAACTATAAAATTAAAATAATGGTTCTAATAAGGACTTTGCACAATGAATGAAAGCTGAATTTGTGGTAAATTGGCGCTTTAATATTTCGATAAACGGCTTTATCGTAAAACATAAAAGGCTCTTTGTTCAATATACGATTTCAGGAAGCTGATTTAATTCATTATTAACCTTTAATGAAAACTCAAAATTATAGTTGTTCGAATCTGATCACAACTTAATTCTCAATAACTAAATATAAGACATACATGTTCGAATATTATTTCCTTAATAAGCATAAAAATCTCGCCTAGCCCACTCGAATGCTTAAGTACGGTAAAATTAAAAGGTAAACACGAAACGCGTCTGTGTAAATCACCACACGCTCTACAAACACAAAGCTCAACAGACTGTACAGTAGTTTTAAAAAAACTGTAAATTCGAGCTGTATTTTACAGTAATCGCGATCATAGAAGTTCAGGTTGTATCAAAATTTGTTCATTTTACTCGGCTTGGTTTGGTTATTGTATGATAAACGTCTATTCTTTAAACGATGCAAATTGCTATATTTATACGAAATTAGCAAATTACATACTTACTGCACAATTGCGATACTAAAATTTTAATTTGTATCAAAATTTGTCCATTTTTTCTCGGCTTGGTTTGATTATAGTATGATAGACGTCTTGAAAGTGCGACTTTATTCCTTATACTATGCAAATTGCTATATACGACTTTATATGCTTATTATATTTAATTATGTTATGCTCACTGGTTTACCTGACCGATTAACTTTGATTGTTCAAGTGGTCATTGCCACCGTCATCGTCTACGATCGATCGCTTCGCGTTGCCAAATATCTTGTAATTCTGCTTGGTTGGCTTGGTTAGTTGCTTTAGTTGTATAGGTTTATTTGTCTCACGCCAACTGGTCCACGGTGACACTGCGCTTTAACTCATGTCTGGTAATTCTACAGTTTTTAACATTTCTGTTTTCGTTCACGTTTGAGTGAATTTTTGAAACGGTTGCTCGTGATTTTGGTCTCATCAACTAAGGTTGATTGAACTGCTGATTGACCAATAATATTTGAATCGTTTGAAATTGAATTTTGAAAATTTGATGCGAATTACTTCAAAATCAGACGTAACTTTACGTCTTTAGCAGAAGAATTCAAATCATCTCTGAATGATTAAACACCAAACAATTGTCAGCAAAACTACGCCAACCAGATTACTAAAATCAATTATAATTTGTGGACAAACAGGCTATTCATTTTTGGTTATTATTTTGGACAGCATCGTTTGTATTTTCTTTTTTTGCGCGTGGAATTTGCGTTGCAATCTTTTTATATTTACAAAGCAATTTGTATGGACAGGGGTGTGACAGGTAATATGGACGCAAATAATCCAATGATTCCATCGATTATGGTCGCTTTTTTATGTTGACAGCTGCAATTAATATTATAACCTCGTCAAATAGATTTTGTTTGACAGGAACTCTGGATAAATATTGTTTATTCTGTAAGATCCGCTATCGGGGTTGGCACCGTTTTCATGAAATTAACTGGTTACGTGAATCATTTAAGAAAACATGTTTGTTAATTCTGTATTTTTTATTTGTTTGACAACGTCATCTTGATTGACAATGGCTCTTCTTTCTAAAAATTGTGTAAAGCTTTTGAAAGTTGCAGTCCGTATTAATCACACTCGGAGAAATAGATATTTCCGAGTGCCATCCCAACGTCTAAAATGGGCACCCAGGATTGTTTTATTGTTGTTTTTTTTGTGATATTTTTTTGTCAAATTCAACAAATCAACATTCTTGGTTAAGAAAACCTGCTTTGAACACAAAACAAATGTTGACAAGTGAAATATTAATTTTTTTTTATTTCAAGTTATAGTTCACACGAATATATTTAGCTTTTTCACGATTAGCTTCCACCAAATAAATTGTTTGTGCACATTCGGAGAAAATTTAATCCATCATTTGGTGCTGTTACATGTGTGGAAACGCAAAACGAAAATTGGTGTTCCACTACTAAATAAAAAACCGTGGTAACATTATAAATATGCGAATTTCGCCATCAACACAATAACCACATTCATCGTCTAACAATTTCAAAAACCTTTGTGTGAGGTTGATATATAGTCAATGTTATCGGTTCTAACACCAGACATCGTCACCCCACACGTTGATTAATCAATAAGTATTTGGCTTTCTACTATGCCGACGATAGGAAAAATACGCGGGCCGAGTATAAACCCATTTCATGAAGATTCGTCGCATATTTTACAATTTTATGAATGAACGAGTTCATACTTATGACGTTAACAATGACAAAAAAAATTATTTACGTAACCTCGCATTTGTCCTCATATATTTTATTTCGTCTCGTCAAATTCATTTTAATCTATGAATTCGGAATGGCAACTCATTCCCGAAGGGGCTGATGGACACGTGTAAAAATAATAGTTATGAATATAAAGTTAACAAAGTTCATGTATTTTGTTGTTTTGCACGTTTCTTCGTACATGTAGTCCTGTGTAGTAGACGATAAACCTAAATTAACAATTTTTATTGAATTTTATTCCAA